ATTGGAGATTTGAAATAGTGGAACATGATTTGGTGGAGGAAAGTATTTACTATGGGGATTTGCTTGTGGTGATCGAAGAAATTCAATATAAGTAAATGAATGTGAGAATGGCCGATGACTAAACGAAAAAAGGTGAGAATTCATATAGGCAAAATGAGGGTGTTTATGTGTTTGTTATCATTTTAGTTCATTTTTTGTGGTATTTTCATTAAAAGTTTATGACTACAAATAATTTTTGTTATTGTCATTAAAAGTATTGTATATACCATAACTTTTAGTATTAAAGTTATTTTTTTGTGTTATATAGTGCCTAAAGGCACAGTTTTCTTCCTTTTTAGTTTTTTCTTGAAAACAATAAAAATGGTTCTTTTTTTATCACCTCTTTTTAATCATGTGTAGATCACTTGCTTTCTCTAATTTGTGTTGTTAAGATTTCATATACGAAACATGTTACTTTTAAAAAAAAAAATTAAATTAAATTCTTTCTTGCGCTATTTCTTGATTACCTCTTTTTAATTTTTTTTTTTTTTAATTCTTTGTTGAACTTGACAATATCATTGGTTGTGCAGAGATACGAATTTACTTTATGGAATACATGATAGTCGTGGGAGCATGGAGCTGCCACTTTTTGGAGGTGGTGAGCATGGGAACCTCCATTTTTGGATGCCTTCTTCACAGTGAAGACAAACCATATAAAGCTAGGTAATTGGTATGTTAGAACAAAAACTCTTTATGGATGGCCTACCATGATTATCAAAAAATAAAAAGAGGGTTTAAAATACTACAACTTTTTGGGCATGAAGAAGGCATGCTTAATGGAATTCCTTATGACAATGGGATTTTGTTAATCGTATGACATTTGATATTAATTTCATGAAGTTAGGTGTTAATTTATTGAAATTGGACGAAACTAAAACTGAACTTGGGTGTATATGTGAGTGGGAGAGGGTTGTGTGAGTGAGGAATTTGATTTTTTGTCGCCTTATAGGAGTTTTTTAAGGTATTTTTAACAACCTTGAGGCATTATTGTTTGGATCGAAGCAGTTCTTAATTGTAAAAATATCATGCAATTGTTATTATTATGTTTTTTTTTTTTTATGTATTGTAGAGAATTTTTGTCTGAGTTTACATTTTTGGGCAAGTATTGTTCATTACTATTGATATCTTGTTTTAGTTTCTTTGAAATACTACTTAGTCTTAGTATTGTTCTCTATACACAGATTGTAAGTTTGAAGTTTGAAGTTTTTAGATTGTTCAATATTTTAGAAACTAAAACTTTTTACAAGAAGAGACCCTAAATCATGTGTTTGACCAAACTAAGATGAATTCTTTTTTTTTTTTTAATCTTTCTTGAGAAAAATGAAGCAACATGGAGTCGTAGACAAAAAATTCTATTTTAGTTTGTTTTGTTGCTACCAAAACCAATGGTTTCCTGTTTCTATGGAAGAAGAGGAATGATTTCCTATTTCATCTATACAGTTGTTTACAAGGCTCTGGAATGCACTATGGTAATCCAAAAGGTGTGCTTAGTGATTGATAAACTAACTTCTTTTTTCCACCAATTTTGTTTGTGGTCGTATGGTTGACGTGGTTGATGTTCGTGAGTGTTGGAGGTTTTATGTCAGGAGGAAATTGTAACTCCCATGACTGTGTTGTGGAGAAAAAGAGAAGAAAAGTAATATAGAAAGCAGTTTTTTTTTTTAAATGGATTAGGCTAGATAAAGTAAGGCACATCTGTTCAAGTGATGCCTTTCTAAGACATAATGGAAAAGGCTACTTGCAGTGGTTAAGAAAAGTGTTGATTAATACTGATAATAGTAGTACTAACCTGATGTGATGAGATTATTAATGCAAGATAGTGTTTATTTATATAGCATTTTGTTTCTATAATTTGTACACACAAGTTGATATTGTTTAGGAATTTATATTTTCAGAGGAAATTTTGTCAAATTTTTTTTAAATAATAATTATTTTAATCTGAGATTTATGTGTGCAATCATAATTACATTTAATATGTTCGTAAAAGTATTGCTGAACAGGTGATTGAATGTTAAAATAATGAATGCAAGATGTTTACTTAGTGGGATGTACATTCCATAATGTCGTTACCACGCTTCTATTTGTTATGTCTTTTAATTAACAATTTTTTTTTTGGTTTGTTATACTTTGATTTCAGGTATGGACAGAAACAGGGTTCTTTGGAATACGGGGAGAGAGAGATGTGAAAGCGAATCTTGGAAGTACAGATCTAGCTGCAAAAAAGAACAAAAGCTGGGGCAACCGTGCAAGGACCAGTAACCAAAAATCATCTCCTAATAGTGTGAGCCAAGGATTGGATTAGCCATGAACCAATTATAATATCTGATCTTCACATTGAATAAAAGCCGCATTATACGAAATAGATGCATCATTAGCCAAGGTGGATTGGAAAATACTCCATAATGTGGATTAGTTTTTACAACAAATTGCAATTAAAAGTATGCACAGAAATAATCTGAGAAGTTTATAATGACTAAAAAAGGAAATTATGGGCAAAAATAGGTCATCTGGTTCTGCAAGCCCACCATTCTACTTTCACACCACCAGCATGCAATTTATTCAACAAATCAGTATGTCTACATAGACAAATCCAGAACATCATGCACCAGATAAGTCACCTACACCACTAAACCTACTCCAAAGGATTAGAGAGGTAACCGAGAGATTTCAAAACAGAGTCTCTAATACTCGATCAAACCTCAAATAAACTCATATAAAGATGTCTGCAAAGCACCAGCTACTTCATGAGTCATCTAAGATTTCACAGCTTCAGCTCTAGGCCTCCAAAGTCCCAGTCTGTATTTGTGGGCATACTTCAATATCAGCTTTCTCTGTAAGAGCAAAATCAGTGAGTTAAAATTGGCTCTGAGAGAGTAAAATAGTAAGGAATAAGTAAAATAATGTCATAATGAGATTATGCCAAAACAATATAAAAAGTTCAAAAGGTCGCACATAAAAACACTGAAAATCTCACTAATACTCCACAACCCTGCGTGCTGAGAACTAGTTTTTTCCCGGTAAATGTGGCTGAGCACACAATGGCATAGCTTTTTGCCATCCACTAATGTTGGTTGAACATTCCAAATATCTGACCAAAGTACTAAAGTCCAATACAAAGGTAAACACGCAAAAACCCTAAAAGGGGCCTAGGTAAGCTACACACAAGTTCATGCAAATGAGAAATGTAACATACTATTGCCAAGCAGAAAAGGCCATACAGCTTAATGCCAATATGCCCTCTATGAGTTCCAAAAACGTATATACTCATCCATCACCAAAGAGCAACTACGCACCTAAAGCAGGCACAGAAAATCAGAAAGTGAAAATGATAATAAAAGTTCGGAAGGTTCTTGTTCAGCTGACATGAATTCTACAATGTCAAACATTGACTTCTCAAAAACTTTGTGAATCATGCAAGTATGCCATGGGATTCTCTGATTCAGGGACCTCAACACTTACAAGGAAATGCTCACGGGATGATGTTAAATTCCAGGACAAAGGTCACTATGTTTCCACCGCTCAACATTCATAAAGAAAGGTCAAAATATGTGACACGCGATAATTACTAATGAAATTCTGAGCTTACGTCAGCTTCAAACATTGCTAAGGAAAATTTGGAAAAGATAAATATTTGTCGTCATCAGATTTTTGTGATTTATCACTGATAGAGTTAATGACTAAATAAACTTTTAGTCCCTAAAGTATGTGTCTGTATCGATTTGGTCCCTATAATTTTAATTTTGTCATTTAGTTCCTAATTTTTTAACGTGTTTAATGGTCCAATTTTTAACTGCTATTTAAATTAATATCAAATCCATTTAAATTATTAATAGATCTAAGCAAGGGCTCGTCACATGACCATTTCTCCAGGAGCATATCTAGACAGGGAGGACTATTAGTGATTTGGAGGATTCAAAAGGGCCAATTTGGAAATAAACAACATCAGCTATCTTCTTCCTCTCCCCTCTCCCCTCCCCTCCCCCCCCCCCCCCCCCACCCCCACCCCCACCCTTTTCAAAGCTCACATAACCACCGGCATCACCCTCCTCCACTTAATTGTGTCTCATCAAGTGGTCACCCAAGAAGCATAACCCATTTGTCTCCATCCCAATTGTCGATGTCATGCAATTTTCAACTATTCTTTCAATGCATTGTTCCTCTCTCTCTCTCGCTCTTCACCCACCACCTGTAACCCACACCGCCAACAAAATAACCACCCACACCCGCCATCTTCGTTCTCTCTATATGTACATGTATACAAATAGACGCATATGTATCACTTCACCCATCACCAGCCACGTCGCCAACAATCAACTATGAACAGAGTCCCATTTATACCACCGTTCACACCCAACAACATAGTCAACACAAAATCCATTAACCAATTCGATTAGTGATCACCACAAGTCAGACATACACTCCAGTGTTGTGAAAAGCTCGCCTGGGCGAGAAGCGAAGCGAGGCGAGAGTGGCTCACGTTGAACAACTCAGGCGAAGCGAACATAACTAAAGCAATGGAAAAGTGAGAAAGTGAACACCTCTCACTTAAGCGAAAAGTGACGCCTTAGTTAAGTTTTTTAAATTATTTTATTTTTTTATTATAGACCGTTGGATTGTTTAATTTTTATTATGGACCGTTAGATTGAGACAATTGGAACAAAATTGTGAGATGCCCATACACCCAATTGCCCGCTTATCCCAATATATTCAACACCAAAACCCTAATTTTGCCTAAAAGTCAAAGGATTGCTACTACTGCTCCTTCCTCGCTGCTCCACAGGTTTGCCCCTCTCTTCTTCTCTCTTCTTTTTCCCTTCTTCTCCATTTCTCTTCTTATTCTTCTCTATTTCTCTTCTTTTAATTCTTTTTTTCCTTCTTCGACAGAAAACTTTGCATTTGTTGCTTCTATCTCCTTCTTCAACAAAAAAACCACACACAGGTACCTACTTTTTCTCTATTTCTCTCCTTCTCCTCTTCTTCTACTTTTTTAATTCTTCTTTTTCTTCTTCTTCTTTGACAAAAAATACTGGTACCTTGCTACATTTCCTACTTATACTACTACTTCCGTCTTCTTCTTTGACAATAGAGGTATGTTCTCTTCTCTCCTCTCCTCTCCTCTCCTTCTGGTTCTGGTTTTGCTTCTTTGTTTTTATTTTTGCTTCTACTTCTCTTATTTTGCTTCTGGTTCTAGTTCTCTGCTTCTTGCTTCTCTTTTTCTGCTTCTGCTTCTTGCTTCTCTTTTTCTGCTTCTGCTTTTGCTCCTGGGTTTATTTCTAGTTTTGATTCTATTTTTTCTTCTCTGCTTTTGGTTCTACTTCTATGCTTCTACTTTTGCTTACTGCTGATTTTGTTGATTCTGTTTTTTCTGTAATGCTGATTCTGCTTTTTTTCAACTCTAATTTGATGCTGATTTTTTGTAATGCTTCTAATTTGATGCTGATTTTCTCTGCTTAATGCTGATTTTGTTGATCTCTGCTTCTGCTGATTTTCTATAATGCTTAATGCTGATTTTTTGTATTGCTTGTGCTTATTTTCTGTACCGCTTATTTCTACAAATGTGTGCTAATTATGCTTGTTAACACAGCAACCTCAAATATCACTCAGTATGTATCACATATGTTTCAGGATTTTAGCCCTTGGGGGAAAGACAGTACAGCACTATGGCTTCAAAAATCAATGAAACTATGCTTGGAACATCTATAGAACTCAAAACATTGTTAGCACTGAAGCAGTTGACCTGCTAGAAGAGGGAAATGTCATTTCTGTTTTGGCTCACTGCTGGAGTGATTCCTAACAGGTTGAGACATAAAATATTAAACTAGCTAAAGCGGGCACACAACTAATGGCATGGACTGCAATATTATTCTGTAAAACTAGATTATATACTTATCAGGGAAAGAACTGTTTCACCTTACCTATCAATCTTTATAAAGAATGTTGATAGCTGACAACTATCAAAAAAGAAAGATGCAATGCAGAAATACCAATAGAACATCTTAATTTAGTATAGGCATAATAACAGAACCATCAGCTTAAGTATTGCAATATACAAGTGTGGGAGAGAATATTCATAAGACTTTGGTATATTTTTATTTCAGTTTATCAGCATATTAGGCATTTTGTACTAAGTTGCCATGTTTGATAAATCTTATGACAAAGCTAGACTGCAATATTTCAGAAGGGGAACAAGTGCTTGGCCACTCCTAATAAAGTTGATATCTACAGATACCATGAATAAGCTGCTATTTAAAGCCTATATAGTGTCCATAAAAGATTTCAAATAAACTGAGCAACCAAGAGCACATCATTTGCCAACCACCCACCAGTTGCAATGTGATAAACAATAAGCAGATCCCTCAATGTAAAGCTACATACCCAATATGATGCAACCCCTCTGTTGCTAAATCATATCTCAAAGGAACACTACGAGAACAGTCAATAATAATGAGTATCCATGATAATAATGAGTATCCATGAAGCATGGGAAGATAACACCAGCAGAAAAAAAAAATGGTACATAAACACCATAGACACAAATATATGTAGGCCACCAGAGCAGACGCCTCTCATCTCCCTTTTCAGGGAATGCCTGCAAACACAAGCGTGGAAGCAAATGCAAGATAAACCGGTGTTTTATAAAATGGGTCCGGTCCAAAAAGAAAACTTGCAACAAAACTAAGCTGGAACTAATCAGTATCAATAAGAAGCGGAGTTGGGTAGGAATTTACCAGTAAGGTTCATGCAATGACCTTCTATATGGAATGACACAATTGTTGAAGCATTGTTGTTTAGATAGCCATGGCCAAAATCAATACATACAGAAATTATGGTGTTACATTTGAAATATTTTCAAGAATTATGGTGTATATGAGATTATTTCCTATTAATACTCTTTTAGGGCCACATAATTCAAGTGATTGAAAAGCTTCAAGAATAAAACATCAGACTTCTGCTCTCTTTCCATCCAGCCTCCATATTTCTGTCATGGGTTCAAATTTATCAATCCAACATGTGTTCAGATAGTTCTATGTTGCCCCTGCCATGGAATCTTGTTACTACTGGCCTCTAAACAAACAAAAACAATGCAGACTTTTTGAATCCCAAACGAGTAGAACGAACTACTTACCATAGTTTTACTGGGATGGGCCTTTTGGATAGCACTGGACCTTGACAATTGAAGGAAAAGTTAGGTTCCCTAAGCAAGCAGGTTTAGGTATTTAATTCCTCCTTCCTCACTTAACTTCAGATCTGCTTACAAAATCATCTTTAGAGCATACCTTCCTAACTATCGTAACAATATCAAGGAAAATCAATCTTTTCTAGTCCGCTTGCAATCTCAGTTCAGCTATAAGCCTTCCCAAGCAATTCATGCAACTTTTTTGACAATACACACCAATAATAAATTCTAATAGAACATTATCTTGCAGACAATGTCCTAGTTTCATCATACAAGTTCAGGCTCTCCATCCACCTTAATTTACAACTGATGACATAAACTGCAGTTCAAGTACCAGGGCCGGGCATTTATCAATCTTGGCCATAGAATATGTCAAACAGAATGTTATATAATATATAGTTTTGAGTAATACGACAAAGTATAGCAGCCTACACTAAGTACAAATCAGACAAAATCACCAGGAAGCAAAATTTCAGGAAACATTAACAGTACATCAATTATTTTCCCCACTTAAAACCATTTAAAGAGAAATAGCAAATCAAAGGACAAGAAAATGATTTACATGTTTGCAGGGGACCCCAAGTTTCTTGAGTTTGAGAGTGCGTGTGACAAGAAGTTTATTGAAGTCCCCAATTTCAGATTCAAGCTTTTCCACATGTGTTTCGGCACCTTTACCCACTCCATTCAAAAATTCTGGTATGCCAACTTTCACTGCCACATTTCAAGCATATACCCATTTCAACACTCGTCAAAATCACCAAACCCATATACCTACACAAGCTCATACATATTGTTTGTGTAGACTCAAGATAAATGGTTTTACCTATGTAAGGTGAGGATTTGGAGGAAAAACTTGCAAACCCTGGCACCGGATTTGAAGGTGCTGAGAGTAATCTTCTGTTCAACGATACGATTTGCCTCCAGGCCATCTTCAGTGCTGAGTCTGAGTTGATTGAACTATTACAGGTACGTAGACGAAGTGTCGGACCTCTGTGCTCTAAGAAAAAACCATAAACCCCACAAAACCTATGTTATGTCAGTCTAAGAAATGTACCATCTACTAGACAAGTAAAAGAAGGTTCTGGTTATTCTCACATGTAGTTTTAAAATCCACCCCACAACATCAACCAGGAAAGGAATCAGGGTCAATGGGTCACTAGTCGAACCGATAATATAATTAAAAAATAAAAAAATAATTAATAATAATAAATAAGCTAAAAAATCATAATAATTATGAAAATAGTATTCTTAATGTACATTAAATCAAACAAACACCCCCACAACATCTCATTTCATAGCATCAATATCCAATAATCAATATGAATGATTCAATATCAACAATCTAGAGTATATACATGACAACCATAAAGCAGTAAAATAATCAAAAGATAATATGAGAACCTAATTGGTAGAATAAAATTTCCCTCATCTGCTCAATTGATCAAACATAAGCAGCCACAAGCAATTTGCTCTTAATCGATCAAACAATATGCTCTTAATTAAATACATAATTTTTTAAATTGATAATGTGATCAATGTTGAAATAGTCAAATAGAAGAGAGATTAATGTATAAAATCTATAGTTTTGTAGATTATCAATGTATCAAATTTAGAGCAGTATATTAGTGTATTAGTATTACAATTTATAATACGATAATATCAACCAGGTCTAAATACTAAAATTAAATAGCATAGACTAGAGAGTACTAGAGTCAGTAGAGAGAGAGAGAGAGGATGTCCGTGTACCTGTTGTGTTGTGTCGCACTTGAAGGAAGGAAATGAGCAGAGAATGAGGGGTGAAGCAACTTCTTCGTATTTGAGTTCGACACTTCAACTTCGCATCTGCGCAGTGCTCAGAGAGAGAGACTGAGATCAGACTTCAGAGAAGGAGAGATATGACTGAGGAGGAATGAGTCGTCGCTCGTCGGACCTCACAGACCGCTATGAGAAGAGCACAAACGATATAGGGCAGAAAATGCCCAAAATGGCCAAAAAAACGCAGGCATTACTGCATTTTAGTTGATCCGGCCAGTTTGTCCAAAATCGTCCGAATTTAATTGTTTTCTGACAAACCGTCCGGTTCAGTGATTTTCTTCTGGCTTTTTTACTTGATCGATCTAATACAGGCCTCGGCAACGGCTAGGCCGGCCCGAAATTTTTCAGCCCATAACCCGCCTGTGGCCCGGGTCTCTGAGCTTCCACTATCAACAGGCCGGACCTGTCCGTTAGGAACTTTTAAGGTGCATGGGCCACCTTATTGGGCCAAAAACAGGCTAAATACGCTCCGGACGTTAAGGCCCACCCATTGGACTTGAAACGGATTTTTTATTAAAAAATTATTTTTTATGTAAAAAAAATATCAAAAATTTTATTTTTATATAACAATTACAAAGAGACATCAATTATATGAAATTGTTATAAAAAAATAAATTAACAAAAAAATTACTCATATTGATTGAATTTAACAAATATTCATATAGAGTTACAATGTTACATTACAAATTGATTTATAGGTGAGATTATTTTGCATCATTACAAAATTGAGTACATCCTAACTAGGGATGTCAATGGACCGAAGCGGGGGCGGGGTATAGTCTTTATCCTCGTACCCGCTTAAAAAATCTTCGTTTATCCCCGGTCCACCCCCGCTAACGGATATAATTTTCATCCCCGTCCCCGTCTGTGGGTAAATTTATAACCCCCGTCCCCACTTTCCCGTACCCGCCCAAGCCCAAGGAGATCATGCACAAGAAAACAATAAGCTGATCAAGTAGCACTAATTTGAAAAGGCACAAGAAATGTCATCATAATCATAAGGAGGTCATGCACAAGAAAAGCTTAATGTTTATAGCATTTCACCACTGTTGAAAATCAGTACATGACAATTTATGTCTTTATAGCAATTTATGTCACTATGGAAGTTGAAGTTGAAGTTTTGGATCCCAATAACAAATCAAGAATGCTTACATGGAAGCCTCAACAATTCACAGAGCACAAAGAAATTTTCATATATTCTATGGCCCAAGCTTGTATGTGGCAATGAAAGCCCTGCTAGCAAACTATTGCATTCAAAGAGAATCGTGGCTTTTCAAGTGTCATTTAATTACGCAAGAAGTACACATTAATTGATGTTTTACTGCAGTGGAAAATTAGCAACTACACTATTATGTGTTATATGTTGTTTTCTGTTAAGCTTCAGCAAAAGACATAAAGAAGAGAGTTCTAATAGCACATCAATAATGGAACCACAAACCAGATAACTCTGGACTGATATAAAGCCCATTATCCAATTCATTCACATTGCAATACCAAGATATTGTACAAAGCCTTTTAAAAGAAAAAAATTTAGTCGCCAAAGTCTAAAATATTTCTCTATCCAAAAAATTAGAAAAACAAAGTAATTCAGATACCCAAATACTTTGTTTGCTTGCAAGAATTAGCCAAAGTAATATATTGACACTCAAGTTTTTCATAATCTAAGACCTATAAACCCCAAAAATCACTAGCCATCTTTCAAAACAAAGAAATTTTTTATATTAATAATCAACCTTCGATTCTTTTCCTAATTTAAACATACCCACAAGTCAAAACAATCACAACACAGAAAAGAAATGAAGCAATCAACAAAGGGCATCTAAAACTCCAACAATAAAAGTTACAAGAACTTTAGAAGAACAAGAAAAATCTTGAAAATGGGTCATGTTATACTAATCTGATGATGTGAAATTACAAAGCAAATCTATGGAAGAAGACTGAAACATGAAACATGAAAAATTTTAAAGTGATTCAAATACACGTTCACAAGACAGAGATAAAAAGAGGATAAGAAGGGTTTGAAGTTAAAATTCAAACCCAGGAAGAGCAACCGAAAAAAAAAAAATCAAATCTTGGCAGGGGAGTACCTCAGAATCCACAAAAAATGCAAAAAAAAAAACCAATTGATTGAGACAGCCAGAAGGCAAGAACTTCCTTGTGAGTTGTGGCTTCGAAGATGAGACAGCAAGAGAGGCGAGAGTCTTTGAGATCGATCGACTGATAGAAGTAGAGAGAGAGGAGTAGCAGTAGAGAAAGAGAAGTTACAGGGGGTTTAACGGGTATATATATATAGTTAACGAGTATATGGGGACAGGGCAAGACGGGGGTAAGGGTAAGTCTATCCCCGCCTTTATCCCTGTACAGGTTTATACGGGTATCCTCGTATACGTCCACCGTTCAATACGTATAGTTCATCCCCGATCCAAACAGGACAGGTTTGGATGAATACTCATTTTTCTCCGATCCACTGTCATCCCTAATCCCAACTAGATTGACACCTACATAATTGTCAATCATTTACAAGTCTCAACTTTATAAAAGTTATAGATCAAATATCAAATAAACAATATAATTATGAAATATAATCTAAATTATAATCCAACGGGATATATTCTATAGGTTAATAGGGGGCTAACGGACTTTCTTAATGGGCTTCATAACGGGCCAACCCTAAAAAACACGACCTAGGCCCTACCCGCCAGGCAAGTAGGCTACCCAAGCCCTGCCATGTGTACTGGTCAGGTGTCTCGTTAGCCCGTTGGGCTTCTAGGCCATGGGGCCCATTAGGCTTTTGGACTTTTTGGTGAGGCCTCTAATATAGGCACAGGCTCATTTAGGCTCCGGTTCACTGGTTTATTGGGTCAACCAATCGAGGCGGGCAAAGTTTTTAAATACTGTTCTCACATATTAATTTTTTTTTTGCTTTATTTAATTTTTTAATTTCAAACTATTAGACCATCTCCAATAGAAACACAAACCCTTACTCAAATCTAAGTAAAAAACATGAGCAAAAAACTTAATTTGGGATAAATTTTTCCAAAAAAAAAATTCAAATTAAAAAAAAAAAGAGAAATCCAAATTTAAATGAGAACAAACTCAAATTTAAAAGAGAGTACAATATGACTATTAAATCTTAAGTAATGTAAAATCTCACCATTAAAGATTTTTGTATGAATTTGAGTAAAAAAATGAATCTCCTTTGATTTAACATGGGTATGGGTCTAACATTGAAGAAGGTTTTTTCAAGTTTTTTATCCAAATTTAAATTTAAGTTTAAAAAAGGGCAAAGATTGGAGATGCTTTATTCAAATTTGAGTCAAAATGTAAGCAAAAAAACTTGGTTTGATACAAAACACTTCAATGGAGAAACTCAAAGTTAAAAGAGGACAAATGAATAGACCATTAGATCTTTATTTGAGTAAGTAGATCATTGGTGATTTGAGTAAAAGTTTTGAGTCTTCCTTGATTTGAGTAAAAATTTAAGGCTCCCTTAATTTGGTATGTGTTCGAGTATAACATTGGAGAAAGTTTTTAGTGATCTTTTTCCCAAATTTAAATTTAAAAAAGAATAAACGCTGGAGATGCTCTAAGCTCACTCCATCCATATTCACCACCAAAGTACTAAGTTCACCCATAGTTATTAGAATTGGACTAGACATCGACTCAGCAGAAGGACCAGGTCAATGGATCACTGGTTTGACCATTGGATCAATCGTTCAAACTGGTAGTATAGTAAAAAAATTACAAAACATAATAATTAAGCTAAACAAAATGAAACATGTCCACAATGCATATAATTTACCACAATGCATAAATCATAGGGTTGTGATTGTGATATAACAACAATAAATTAATGAACCACCAAGTGGAATGGTCTAGTAGGGTATCGACTAAACTTCTCATCCTGAAGTTGGAGGTTCGAGTTTTGGAGTCAACATTAGGGCTTGTTAGTTAGCTGTTATAAAGAAGAACGAAACAGTTACAGGTATAAACCAAACAATATCACATAAAATCTGTAATTAAACAATTGACCTATTTACAAAACAAGAATTGTTATTGAACTTTAATAGATCAAAGCAAGTGTTTGATAGTATATCCTTACGACAGATTTTGC